GGGCAGAACGCTATTTTTTCTCTGACAGCTTCGTAACTTGTTACGAAGGCACTAAAACTACTTCAGTACAGGGTGTAACGAAATTATCCGGACATCTATTTTTTGCCATATCTGTTTGCACAGTTTCCTCATACTTTCTGATGTTAGAAGTGGGAATATTGGATGAATACGTGCCTCTGCTATCGGTTTTCAACTCAGCAGTGACCTGACCTTGTCATGTGACTGTTGCTCTGAGTAGGAGTCGATTCACAGACGGGTTCACATGGTAGTTGTCGTCCAAGGCAGTTGCGAGAAAGGGATACAATCTCTCCTTTCGTGGTAAAATTGCATGGCGGCATCCACGGCGTCATGAGCCAGAAGCTGGTCTGCCAGCAGCTAGACATCAGCAGCAGCCAATTGCACATCTGCCTGAGGTGTAATAAGCTGGGACTTCGGTGGCAGACTCAGCCCGGTCGCGACCACAAAAGCCGCCCTTTGTCAAGTGGTGAGGAGAGTTGTCAGGATAGCGGCAAGGAAACGGCACCAATCAATCTGCAAATTGACTCGAATTCTTACCAAGTCAGATAATAAGAGATCCCATATCATGGTTTACCGCTACCCGCCCTTTAACTTGGTTCTAGTGCCCTTCAAACTGAAAAAGACAACGAAACTGACGGGAAAACAACCAGTTCACATCCTTTCGCCTCACGCCGGATCGCGTCCACTGGATGAAGAATGATAAGGGTGAGGTGGTCTGGTTGGATGGGTAGCCGTTCGAGCTGTTTTATCCTTTGAACCGTCAAATCGGCCATGTATGGGCGGCCAGCCGCTCGAACTTGCTGGCCTTCACCGCCGTCAAACATCCGGACAATATCCAGAACTGGAGCATGTTCAGTTGCCTAGCGATCCTCCAATAGGACATAGTGTCACATAATACCACCATCAACGTCAAGTATTACCCCGGAGAAACATACTGGCTAATGAATAGTCGGAGGCGCTCAACCAGACGGTATAGGAGGGCTCGGTTTCTGAACGCGCACTGATGCCTGATTCAAGCCACGCTATCTTCATGCGGGGCGGCGCGCTACTTAAAAGTCCCTAAAAGAACGGGAAGTGATGCCGATAGAACCTTCAATCATTCTGGGCTAACGCTTATGACTTGGAAAAAGTCGCGATCCCAATTCAATTGAAAACCTGTGGGCTCTTGTTCAGCAGGTGACTGAAGAGACGCCCGCCACAAGCACCGCCCAACCGCAGGCACAGGTTTAGACGGCGTTGGTCCGCGTCAAAGCCAGTTTGCTGGAGAATCCATTGGCTGAAATGCTCCAAAACATTCGCCACTGTGTTTTTATGAAAGGTGGCTACATGCTCAGTCAAAATAAAAAGTACCAGAATGTGTTGCTTTTTAATAACAGCGGGAAGAAAGATGTCCGGATAATTTCGTTACACCCCTGTAATGTTCAAATGGTTGCTAAATTCGAAATCAGCTAAACAAAAACTAGCCTAGAAACATGTTAAACTCGAAAAAGTGAACCGGGGTCATCAAAGGTCATTGAGCTGACCTGACTTTCATGTGACACCCACCCTAATGCATGGGACGAGCATCATATCACATGTTTCAACGCTTGAAACCACTTAAAGACTGCAAACGCGCGGCTAATGCGAGCAGACATATCGCCGAATCGCGATTCGGGCCAAACATGGTCTCGAGAAATAGGTCACAGGTCAAAGGTCATTTGGGTCAGGGTCATGAAATTTTCAGGGTAGGAGTAAAATTGATAAAATCGGGGGTATTGAAAGTTTCGTCGCGATCGGACGGTTTTTACGCGAGTTACTCACGAAAAACCGATGGGGTCCGCTCAACGCCTCCCCCTATACGGGCGAGGGAAAAGCGCAACCAAAAAGGCAAAAATACGCACATGCGATAACCTATACTGCGAAAAAAGGTGCATCATTTTTTAACGTCGCCGACAAATTGTAATTACCCCAAGCTCAGGCAGCTGTATGGTAGAAAATGCCCCAACTGAAATACACTACGGCGCAAATAAAATACCCTACGGCGGAGCTCGGTTGCAATTTGTAAATACGCCCCGCAGTCAGCGGAGAAGCTAAAATAAAAGCCACCATCCTCCTCCGTAAGTCAATTTTAGAGCGGCCGAGTGGGCCGATGCGGGGCCACCAAACTGAGGTGAGACGAGGCTAGCAATTGCAAACCGCCATAGAAATCAATATCTTAAGACGTACAATATGGGATGATTACTCTGAAGCTGGAGTGAAAGCATGAGTAGATTGCAAGAAACGAAATGCATAGATTGGTTGAATTATGTACAATAGGCACAGCTCAGATGAAGCCATTTCTATGATGTTGACATATGACATAACCCTTCCTCTCCTCACGCATGACCTAAGTGCATTGGCAGTTACCGGCATAGTTTTTGGGCACGAGTGTAATTCGCCATCGGACCGCAATGCATGTTGCTAGGCTGCTGCAATTACAACGAACATACGAATACTGCCTTCATTTGTAGACGTTTGTTTTTTAGGCGGTCTTTGACGTGCAAGGGGGCATACCTGTCGACAACTTGAGTTTCTCCGAATTTCAAAATTTCCCAGAATTTCAATTCCTTATGCACTGTTGTAGGTACAGCTATGTTCACAAGTTTTCGTTTCCTCCTGTTCTAAAAAGGATGATATTTGTCGATTTCGTGCGTCGCTGATAGGAGGGTGCGTTTAATAATTAGGCCCAACGCTTTCTGCATCCACGAGTACCTTCAAAAGGGAACAACAGTTTCCATTTATTACACTATGGGACATGTGACAAAATGACCACTGGAACACGCATGAAACGGAGCTGATATTCCTAAAAATGTCTACAATCACTTCTTTTCTGACACTATTAGCAAATACCATCTCAAGTTAGGTGGTTGACAGACAGTCAATGGAGGTCTGGGGAGACTGAGTGATGCCAATTCACCACTTAACTGATAATGAGGGCCGAGGGAAGAGAAACATGCAACATGCACAACTGACAACTTGACAAGTGACAAAACACTACCACTATTGCGCAGTGCACAACAAATTACAGAAGCCAGCCCAAAAAATGCTTTTGGTGGCTAATTGCAAAACAAGTCACTAATAAATGTCTTAGTTGCAGCTGAACACTGCACAATAATCACACTGTTCACACATTGAGTGAGATGCCACAGGTGGTTTGAATCACACTTTGGTTCAACTGCAAATCTGAAGTGTTGTCATGAGGTTCATGCCTCCATGATCACAGCACTTTGGTTGTGGTTGGCATAACTTGTAGTCTGCAGAGTTCCACATGAACTGCAGACACCTCATCTGGTGGTCTTCATGTTGCTCAACTTCTTCAGGAGGCAAATGTCGACCACCCAGCGGAAGCATGGTCCTGCAGAAAAGAAAGGTAATGCATAAGGTACAAACATTATCTGCTGAAACAGCCCCTTCTGTTGGCTGTTATTAAACTTTTAACATAACATAACAACATGTATTCCACGTATATTACATTTGTTGAAGTAAAATACTACCGGCTATTTCAAAACCAGAAAATGAAATTATATTGTGGCATAATTCACATGCTCAGCTATCAGTATCAAATAATAATCAATTTAATATTTGGCATATTCTATATAACACATTCATAGAATATTCTACTTCACGTCACAAGGACTCACAATCTTTCTGTTGGGTGTTTGATTGACGCATTAACTAAGTTTGTCTTAGGTTTTATTATTGCAAAAAATTCATATTGCATTATTGTATCAAAATACTGCCAGCAATAACAAAACAAGAACATGAAATGTCAATGAGCAAGCCGCCTTTCCTAAAAATGGATTACTTTGAAAGGAATTTTAGTTTCTTTTAAGGAAAAGGAGAAATGATTATCAGGTAATTATCAGAAAACCACTCAACCAGCAAGTGGCTGGATGGTTTCACAGCAAACATCAAGCCAAAACATATACTTACATTTATCTTACAATTGAGCCATTTGACTACTACAAGGATATGTGAGCAAAATAAGAATCCAATTATCCAAAGTTGACTTCCTTGCAAAGTTTATGCCTTATTTTATGAAAATGTGTCACTAGAATATGATACTTATCATCGAATATTATTAAATTTACGATTTATTTCGATCGGAATGCACATGGAGTCCCGCGCCAATTTCGTCGACGATGAATATGATCGTGTTTCATGAAGAGATAAGGGGTTTCAATGGTCTTTCAAAGCAAAAATTTGATGCAAAAATTTGTAGGAAATAATATAAAGCTGGTTCAAATGGCCATCAACCATTTAAAACACCGAAAATACTCACAACTCCGTCCCGACGACCACGCAGCACCGCGCACGCCACACTACTGGCACAATGCCAAAACTGCTGTCATAGCGGAAATATTTTTTTTTCTCGATTGCAATTGTGGAATTATTTATTAAACAGAAGATGATCTTTCCGAAAAACCGACTGATTTCATACACAGATGCATGGAAAATAAAAAAAATCCCGGTAAGTTTATTTGTATTGTTTTGTCGATTTTGACATGCTCCTAGTTTGCAGCCATATTTCGATATGTTCTACAGGGAGTTCAGAATTATTTCAGGACCAATCTTTTCCTCATTCATTTTCCCGTCGATCATGAAATTTTTAGAGCGGAACAATTAGTTTCCAGGCGGTCCGAGCGGTTTTCGTGAGAAGGGTGCAAAAATCGGCGTCATTTTTAGAGCCTCGACACCAGCTCAACACAGGACCCTATGGGAGACGGTGAAGTAGCGGGAGCAATAAATAGAGCGCTCTAATTTTAGCTTATTTCCCTGGTGTGTCACCGACTGTGATAGCTTCCGCATCCGCCGAAAAGGTGACCGTTTCCTTTCAATAACGTAAAATCGCTGAGCCCCTTACGCCCACAGCAGCCTTTCACACATACCCAGTACCCACTGCTCAAAGCCACGCAAGACCATATAAGAGAACCCACGGTATGAAAATTGACTGAAATCCAAACCTCAGCGCTGCCTCACACCGATGTCTGCGTCGGCAACGGCGACGACGACGTCGACGACGACGACGACGACGGAAACGTCAACAGACAACAACATTGCTATGTAGCAATATGTTGTTTTTATTGACGTCACTAGCTTTTAAGGGATGCTGCTTGTTAGCGATGGTTTCTAAGCAGAAATAATATCTTAAATAACTCGAATAGAAAACTGTAAGTAATTATTATGGAAAATTTGTTGCGTTTGATTTAAATGTTTTGTAGAAATTGTAAAAATATTGCGGAATTATAAACATTCTTAAAGTTCGATGACGTCATCTATATACTAATTTTTAGTAAATCTATTTGACACTTTCGGCTCACTCGCTACATTTGACTAGCTATAGAAGTTACGGCCACTAAAAAATAGTTTTTTAACTAGGGCAGCAAGGCACGGGTTTGCGATTTTGCTGAGCTGAGGTGAAGGTGGGGTGACTGAAGGGTGACTGAGGGCATATCAAATCAAATATACCGACTGAAAGGTAACGCTATTGCTTAGTAAGTTGGTGCATATGGTATTAATTAGTGCTATTAATCGCATGCTTGTGCTTGTCGATTATTATTAATTGCCCATGATTGTGATATTGATTGGTGCGGTGGTTTATCACTGTAGGTATTTACCTGCAATGGTGCGTTCGGAGAGGCACATTCCACGTGGAATCTGTGGAATATTCCAGACACGCGGAATATGTCTGGAATGCTCCATGCTCTCAACATTGAATATAGGTACCATGTCCATTAACTTGTCAATATTTGCTCTTTTCCCCTAAGGGAACTGTGAAGGTGTAGCTCAAATGCTGGGTTTTTGCTCCTGTGACCTGTGCTTGACCTTTGCCTGTGATGATGAGAATGCAACATATTCATTAACCTGACAACTGATGCAGACAAACAACACAAACCACTGAGCTGGGAAGATACATTTGTTCCCAAGAGGCCAGGGCCCTGGCTCCTCAAGTCCTCAGAACATTATTATTTGTTGCCTGCAGCTTCAGGTACCTGCCTGCAGCCTCAGCTCTGCCATGGTTTCAGGACTTAGTGGTCCAACCAAAAAATACACTCCTTTATAAATAAGGCTGCTTTCACTTTACGGAAGTGAAAATATTTGGTCTGGACCCCCATGACCCCTCCCCCAGTGCCAGAGCTCCCTGGTAGCTCCCTGCCTGCAGCTACCAGGTGTCAGTGCCCATTTCCATGGAAACATAAGCAAAATTGTGACTTTTATTTTGAAGGGCCTCAAATTGGATTATCCCTCTAGCTTTTGCACTTTTTGATTAAAAGTACAAGAAACTTCATTCTAGCTTTTTGTTTACATGTTTTTAAATCATAATATGTTTAATGCTTACTTAGAATGTGCCAATGCAAAATGCAAATTGCCTTGGAAATGGAACTGGGTGTAAATAGGTAACAAAAGTAAGTTAAGTTTCATATCTGCAAAGTTTCTCACTAGAATTCAAATAAAAGGTGGTTATATAGACAGACACTTATTTTCAGAAACAATATTATTATGTTATGTCTTTAAAGTCAATATTTTGAAAAGATCACATTTGCCTCTATATTTGTCATATTTTCCCCCATTTTTCATTGACATTTGCTTGAGTTAGTGAACTAAATATTAACCATGACACATGGGATCAGTTACACCTACATTAAATCATATTTGGCAGGTGCTCCTCTACTCAGCTCTCCAAACATGGCAGCTTCAAGAATTACAAAGAAAATTATGGATGTCATAAAGAGCAAGGAAACCAGGGATTATTTTATGAGGTAAGTTTGATTGCTGTTTGTGTGCATGCTGCTTAGTGGTGACAGGTCTGCCTGTAATGTCCTGATGTTTAACATTTATATTTGAGACTGTTAAAACTGATTAAAAGGATTAAAAGGATAGCAGACATCAGCACACTGACAAGATGATCCAACATAATCCTGCATCTGTTAGATATTCGACCAAATAAGCCTTCCTGAAGTCAGTACCTAAAAGCTTTCAAAAGCTACATTACAAATGTAATTTTGTGCTAACTGCAGTAAGCTCATGTAGTTGGGTAATAATGTTCCTTCTTGCTTTTTAGAGCTAGTCTTCCATGCTCATACAAGTGCATGCACTGTGTGCTTCATTAAGGTTATCTTCAATTTGCTGTAGGCCTCATCAACTGCTTAACCCGCGCCCTGCTGGGGGTCCTGGATTTCCACGCCCTGCTGGGGGGGGGGGGGTGTTTGAACACCCCCCCTTGTAACTCGGCTCCTGGGCCACGTAGCGATACGCGGAAGGCGGCGTTCGAAAGAGCGTAAAAAATAATGACGAAATCACTTCGGTCAATTTTTTGGTCAGGTCAAAGGTCAGGTCACCAGAGGTCATTGAAGGCAAAATTTCGCCGATTTCCAGGTCGAATGTCGAAAATTTCCAAGAAGCCAACGCATAACTCGGGAACCAATAGAGCTACAGCGCCGCGGAAAAGCGCATTCGATAGCCCTATTAACGCCCTTTCCGAGTAATTCTCTCAGATTTGACCTAACGTCAACGGTTTTGCCTGCAGGGGGCAAAAACTGCAAAAATAGCCGATTTTTTTGAAAACAGTTTTTCTGCAATAACTTTTGACCCAAGCCTTGTACGAGCTTACTTTTACCGGCATCGTGTTCCTCTCGTCAAGACGCATCGAATGAACTATAACTTGACCTTGAAAGGTCAACTTGAAAATTTGACCTCAGGTCAAGGTCATGACCTGACCGGAAAGGGTCATGTTGCATATCAGTCGATCCGTATCGTCGAGCTGAACACATCTAAGGCGTTTTCATCGCTCTAGCATGCCTCTATCAAAAGTTATTTGCGAAAAACTGTTAGATACCATTCGTGACCTAAGATGACCTCAGGGCATAAACAAAGGTCACGGACACCATTTTTAAGTTCAGTGTGTCTAAACCACTTGTAATTCGGTGTTTGGGAGTGTTTATAATGTCTTTCATCCAAAAGAGGCGCATTTCAATTTTCTCCCATTGACTTATAATGGGGAGGTCGCAAAATTGACCTGATCTTAGGTCATCGATATCAAAATTCTGAGATATACATTTTGTACATGCTATTGCTCTTAGCAATCGCTGAAAGTTTCAAAGCGATCGGTCACTCGGTGTAGCTATGACAGACATTGAAAGTTTTTATGAGGTGAGGTCACTTCAAGTGACCTGGTGACCTGACCTTGAATGACCTTGGTCTGAAATTTTCACAACATGTGTAGAATTGATGTATGATAAGGTGTACCAAAAACGGCGGCGCTCCGCGCCGCCGTTTTTGAGATATTCGCGAAAAACCACAAGGGGGGGTGTTCAAACACCCCCCCCCCCCAGCAGGGCGCGGGTTAACCCGCGCACCGACGGGGGGGGCGGATATCCGCCCCCCTGAGGTTTTTCGCGAATAGCGGGAAAATCGGCGGCGCTACCGCCGCGAAAGTTGGTACGACTATTCCCTCATCAATTTTACACATGGTGTGCAAGTTTGAACCTCCTACCTTTTAAGGTCAGGTCACCAGGTCACTTTGAATGACCCAACCTCAAGTCACTTTTTTGCAACTTTGTCACCGTGCCAGAGCTACAGTAGATGTCGGAGGCCTTTGAAAGTCGCAGGATGTTATTAGGTCATTAGTAGCTACAATTTTTATATCTCGGGATTTTGATATCGGTGACCTAAGGTCAGGTCAATTTCGCGACCTCCCCATTATAAGTCAATGGGGGAAAAATCAACTCCCTGTTTTTACCACTAAAACGGGTCGGAATGCCCCCATATACCATACATGACTTCATATACGATCAACCTTCACTACCTTGAGGTCTGTTTTGCTGTTGGGCAGCTGTGAGGTCATGTGACGTCATCAAAGGTCACCAAAGGTTTTTGGCCAATAACTCCGTACAGGAACAAGATACAGACGCGTGGATGGTCTCATTGTGTTCAGCTCGTCAAGACGCATCGAATGATATACAGGGTGTAACGAAATTATCCGGACATCTTTCTTCGCGCTGTAATTAAGAAGCAAGACATTCTGATATTTTCCCTTTTGAATTATTATATAGCCACCTTTCATAAGAGCGCAGGTACACATTTTTGGAGCATTCCAGCCACTGGATTTTCCAGCACAGTGGGTTTCGTATAGAGTAGCGCCTTACTAACCTGTGCCCGCAGTTGGGCGGCGCTGGTGGCGGGTGTCCCCTCATTCATCTCCTGATGGAGAATAGTCCATAATATATCGACGGAATTGCATGGGAACTATTTCCAAGCCATAGCCCTTTAGCCCAGAAGAACAAAAAGGTCCTCTCGGCATCACTTCTCATTCTGCTAGGGACTTGAAGGTGGTGCGCCGCCCCGTATGAAGACTGCGCGGCTTGAATCAGGTATCGGTACACGTTCAGAAACCGAGCCATCCTGTGCCGTCTGGTTGAGTGGCTCCAACCAATCGCTAGCCAGGGTGTTGCGCCGGTAATACTCGTCACTGATAGTGGTTTTCTGTGTCGTCATGAACAGCTTGAATATTACACAGCAGCTGAACATTCTTCAGGTCTGGATTTTGGCCGGATGTTTGACGCCGGCGACGGCCGGCACATTCGAGCTGCTGGCAGCCCACACATGGCCGATTTGACGGTTCAACGGGTATCGCAGCTCGAACAGCTTCCCATCCGACCAGGTCACCTCATTCGTGTCTTCCTTCGACCAGTGGACACGCCCTGGCCTGAAGCCGAAGGTGGTGGACTGGTTGTTTTCCCGTCAATTTCATTGTCTTTTCCAGTTTGAAGGGCAGTAAAACCAAGCTAAAGGGCGGGTAACGGTGAATCATGATGTGGGACCTCTTATTATCTACCTTGGTAAGAATTCGAGTCAGTATGCGGATTAATTGGTGCCGTTTCCTTGTCGCTATCTTGACAACTCTCCTCACCACTTGGCAAAGGGCGCCTTTTGCGATCGAGGCCGGGCTGAGTCTGCCACCAAGTCCCAGCTTATTACGCCTCAGGCAGATGTGCTACTGGCTGCTGCTGATGTCCAGCTGCTGACAGACCAGCTTCTGACTCATGCCACCATGCC